CGGAGCAGCAGGTGGCTGTGGTCTGGCCACCAATTTGCCCACGTATGCCAGGAAAACAGGGCCAGCAGCAGTGACCCCACATGTTCCCAGGCCAGTCAGGAGGGAAGCCTGTGTCCTTCCTCCAACATCCAGACTAGAGAGAATGGATCATTCTAGACGGTTTAGATCAGGGAGAGGAAGTGCTAAGCAGGGACACCTTCTTCTCTCCAGACCACCGACCAGACCACCTAGCCTCCTGAGCATCCTGTCTTTGTTTCTCTGTACCCACCCCCCCCGCTGTGCTCTGGGTGACTTCCCGCTGAAACTCTGAATAGTGACAACCCAGGAACAGCTAAGGTATGCTCAGAGGGTGAGAGCAGCCCTGGATTTTGGGGGGCCCCCATCATACCAGGCTCCTTGGGGAGTTGCTCTTGGTGAGACTGAAACTTCCTATGATCTCCCACAGGACCGACCAGGTGGGAAGCAGCAGCAGGACCTGGCAGGGAGGGGACTGTGAGCTGAAGCTGGGCCAGGTGTGTGCCCCAGGCTGCCTTGACTCATCCACCAGGCCTTCCCTTTTGGGGTGCTTCCCACCTGAGCGGTTGAGAGGGAGCCCCCAAGGGAGCTGTTCTGCCGAGGGAACCGTGGGGTTTCCAGGCGCCCCCTGCACAGGGGCCCTGCAGGCAGGGCTGCTGGCTTCTCACGAAGTCCTGCCGCCCCTACCCCACCCCGGCACTGGGCGCTGCGCCCCCCAGGCTCCCAGCGTCTACGTCCTGGGCACCGACCCCTCGGGCCTCTGGGGGCTCACCTGGGCTAGGTGACAACTCAGAAGCCCTATTTTCTGTCTCAGCAGAAGGCACCCTATTCATTCCGCTCGCAGAACCGTGAGGCAGAGACGCAGCAGTAATGTCTAACATACCTGTGCCCGAGGCCCGCGGCACCTCCTGCCGAAGGGCCACTCGGGGGACCTCCAGAGGCTGCGGGCTGTGGGGTGGGCCCCGTTTCCCGGTTAGCCTCCCCCGACACTGCGAACTTCCGAATCCTGCTCCTCGGGTCTCCCCCTGGGTCAGGATGGGACCGCGACTCCGTCAGAGAATGACCGCGTGTTGGGACCCCTGGAATGGCCCCTGGGGGCGGCGGGTGGCGACCCACTCCCTTCCCCACGAGGGGCGACGTCCCTCCACCTGTGCCCTCCCCACGAGGGAGGCGTCCCCCCACCCGGACCTCCCCCGGGGCCGCGCGCTGACCGCGGTGCTG